TATTGAAAAGTATTCATGATTCAACTGGTAGTTTTTAAAAATACTAGAATAGGGAAGGTCATTCTAACAAGATCACAAACCCAAAATCCATAAAACAAAACTACAATAAATTCAAATTTTTTTAACCCTGACCAGCAAAAAAGGCATAAACAAGGTCCTAAAACAAGTAACATGTAAGAGAGTCTCTACAAATCACTAAAAATTACTAATAGAAAAAGGAATACAAATGGCTCTAACCAAATTTTTTTAAAAAGGCTCTCAATCTCTCTGATAAGAAAATTGCAAATAAGTCTACAGTGGCATCTTTTTCATTGAAATATTGGTAAAGATTGCCACACACTGAGTTGGCAAGGATGTGGGAAAGTCTCCTTAGTACACGTCACTTATACGCATTTCCTCTACAAAAGTAAATTTCACAATATTTATCAGATTTAAAATATACTAACCCTTTGACCCAACAACTTTGTTTCTAGGAATCTGTCTCAAATATACAATCATACATGTAGGAAATGTATGTACAAAAATATTTATCACAGATAATACTGTGATAAATACTAAAAATTACTAATGACAAAATACTTAGAAAAAAATTTAAATACCCACAAATATGGTACTACTTAAAGAAATTACAGAATATTGATTAAAAGGGATAGTATATATCCTATATCCATTAAAATTAATGAAGCAGCTATATAGTCACAGATGTGGAACTGACCTCCTACAAAGCAAACTGTAGGACACATTTGTGTTTTTACATTTACATCCATCCATATATACATGTATGAGCACATACATACACACATATACAGACACACATACAATATTATATATACACATGCATTCTTATGCATAGACTGTCTCTGGAAGAGTAGACAATATAAAATATACTAGTAACAGTAGTTGGCTCTGGGTGGGGGAAATAGGTAGCTAAGAAATTTGGGGGCTGCAGAAATTTGGGGGCTCACACTTGTAATCCCAACACTTTGAGAGTCCAAGGCAGGAGGATGACTTGAGCCCAGGAGTTCAAGACCAGCCTGGGCAACATAGGGAGACCTCATCTCTACAAGAACAAAAAATATATTAGTCAAATGTCGTGACACCTGCCTGTGGTCCCAGTTACTTGAGAGGCTGAGGTGAGAGAATCGTGTGAGCCCAGGAGGTGGTGGCTGCAGTGAGCCGTTACTGCACCACCTCACTGCAGCCTGGGCCTCACAGCAAGAAATACTCTGTCTCAAAAAAAAAGAAATTTTATTTCAAAATTTTATAAATTAACTTTGGAAAATACTTTTAAAATTGAATTATTTCAAAAACTAGAGAACTGCTCACTATATATGTGTTAAATATATATACTAATTGTTACCCTAATCTATCAGGAAAATTTTTACTTCTTGCCTTCCTTTATTTGGGGAGCAAATTAACCCTTTAACAGAAAATCTAAACTATGAATGAAAATATACACATCAAGAAACACATAATTTCTAATTTGTGTTACAAAAAGCTTATCTGAAAGGCCATGATATGTACATATTAGAAACTGAGTATTTACTGAATGAATACTTCTCTATTGATTTAGTGGGTTTGCTTTCCTCAGACATTTTTTCACAATTTTTTTTTTCAAAAAAGCCCACTGGAAATTCAACTTTTAATAAATTATGCTTTTCTTTCAAACAGTGATTCTTCATTGTCCCACAAAATTGATAAGCTACCTCATTAACATTACCACAATTCAAATAAACAATTTATTAAGTACTTATTATGTGCAGGTGTTAAGGATGCTGCAAAACACAAACTCAAAAAAAGGGTAAATTTTGATTCTTCCCCTCAAGAAGTTTACAATCTTGAAAGACAAGACTTAAAAACATTAATCATCTGAATGTCTTGGAAGATTGAAAAAAAAAACATTAGTCAGTAAAAGGACATCATAAATTTTACTGATAAATTGAATTAGCCAAATTAAAACTGCTACAGGAACACATGAAAGGATTTTTTAAAGTAATTACTGATTGGGGTTCTACTGAGATTTTTAAATGCTTCCAAAATTATAGTACCTTGCTCACATGTAAAATGGTATTATTTGATTATGATAGACTTCCTATGTGGATGTTCAGCTGAACTTTGAAGAAATTACTAATAATTAGGAGTACTTTTTAATTATTCAGGCTCCTAAGGTGAAAGATAACAATAATGGTCTCAGTTTTGATCATTCAGTTCTCTTATTAAAAATATCTCAAGCATGAATCTTTTACTACATGCATATTTACTTTAAAATTATATGCACCTAGGTATTGTCATCTATATATTAAATATTAATAAGGTTCAAATTCCTGCTTTTTCTCCACTTTGCATGAATACTTAATATAGCCATTGAAACTCATAGATCATGCAAAAATATTTTTATCTAACCATTGAAATATCTTCACACATCAAACGTACTTTTTAACATAATTGTTAAAAGGCAGCAGACATGCATTTAAATTTCAGTTTATTTTTCTCTCTACTCTTAAAATACATGTTAACTTCCAATGTAATGAACAGCACTAAAAAGAAACAAAGGAGAGTGATGACCAGGTAAGTGAACCCCAAAACTTCATGGGAAATAGTAACCATTGAAGAATGTTAGTATTATTTTTCTTACTTATTTGTTATTTAATACTCAATATTGATAATGTATTATTTAGTAAACCATCAAAATCTTCAAAATAATTTTTGTTTCTCATTACTATAATTCCATTATAAAGTTTATTCATTTCCTCATTTCCTTGCCTACTCTTTTATTAAAAAGAAATTAAGAGCATTTAAAACCAAATGTCCAAATATATTATGCTTTAACCTCCAAATAACTGTTTGTTAAAATAAATATAACAAGAATTGTGAAACCATGAAAGTCATTTTGAGGTACGACCCCTTCCTAAGACTAAGTTAGGTGGCAATGCAAATAAATATTTAAAATAAATCTGAATATATATTTTTCATCAGTGTAATTTTATAGATTGTATAAATAGGTATTTAGAGAACATCTGTTTCTATCTAAACTATGTAAATATGAATACGTAAATATTATATGTATTTGAATAGTATGTAGGTTTACATACAGATATAATATATACACATGTAGTTACCTGGAAAACCCTTTTACAACATCTCTAACATACTGTTCATTTTGAATAATCCTAATACTTAAAAATCCACTTAAATTTCTATATTAAAACAATAAATAAACTTAGAACTACAGTGAACTAGCCACATAGTATTTCTACTATGAAGAAATAAAAACACATTTTATATTTAAATAGGTAAGTCAAAAAAAAAAAAACTACATTTAACTGGAGCATCATTTTGGCCACACCGATTTTTATCAATGATAGTAAAAGGCAAAAGTTCATATTTAAATATCAAACTGCAAGTCATCAAAAGCTTGGCATTATTAGCATACAAAATAAAGTCAGGCACAGTAAGAAGCATGCTCAAAAAGCTTCTAAAAATAATGCTTTATTCTTCCAATAGTTGGAGTAAACTGCTTAAGTTTCTTAATTTCTTCATATCCCAAGGCTGTTAATAAATAGCATTCCCAAATAAGTATTCAACCCTAGAAATTAGCTTTCATGAAGAAATTCTTAATTTCAGTTATGTCAGAAACATATTTGCTGTTTTAGTCACTCAATATTTTGTGAGAAATAGTATCTTTCTCTACGATTTATGAATATTTGTTTGTTACTATAAATTAAAGTTGTATTTTTCATTAAAATATGAAAATGTATACCTATTGACAATGAAACCTGTTTCTTTATAAGTACATGAAAGACAACTAAATTCAACAACCTGCTTTTAAAATGTACCTGAAGTGAGTGTATTAGTTCCTTCACAGAGGAACTCTAAACTTTCAATTGTATATTTCTGTAGAGAATATAGGAAACGTGTAATTAATAAAACGCAAAAGAATCATCTGAATAACTCACTTCAAAAAAAGAAAAAGTCCAAGTTGGAAAAACATAAAAAGGTTACACATCTTCTGAACAACCTCTTTCACAAACTGAGAAATAAAATAACTATAAAACATTCAAAAGCAAACCTTGTAGAAACAAATCTCTTTGCTAGACTAACCAGAAAAGGAGTCTCAGAGCTAAAGATAACCCTGTCTGGACAGTTCCCTGGTGCTGAAGTTCCAGAGCCGGTAAACGGATGCCTGGGTGCTGCTTTCACTCCTCCCACCCTCGGAAAAACCCGGGCTGTCAAGACTGTGAGCACGAATAGTAGAACTTCACAAGGTAGGGAGTATGCCAAACTGCAGTGATGGTAGGAACTGGAGTCTCTTCAGGATTAAACAGATTTACTAGTTGCAAACAGGAAGAGCAGGAGAGTGCAGGGTGTTAGCACTCGCCGAGGGGGAGGGGCTGGAAGATGGCGGCGGACGCACACCCACCCGAGACGCGACAGAGCTTAGGCCCCTCGCCCGCACCTCCGCCCGCTGCCCGCAGCCACCGTGGGCAGCCCTGCTCTGTCCCGCGTGGCTGGTAGAGCCGCCCCGCGGAGGCATGGGACCAGGGTAGCCTCCGCATCCCCTGCCAGCGCGCCTTCGCCTGGGTCCGGCCAGGGAGCACCTGTGCACGGCCATATTGGATTCTGTGCCCCAGTCACAGTCTCCGCGCGGCGGGAAAGGAGAGGGTACGCGCAAAGCCTGGGTTCAGCCCCAGTCCCGCTGGGGCCCCGGAGCCAAGATGACCAGCGGGGAAATCCGGAAAGGCGCCAGGGAAAATCACACCGCCCTAAGGCTACCCGCCCTCACCTCAGCCGGCCTTGGCGCCCTCCCTCCCCGACACACACCCCCGCGCTCAGACACCCAGAAAACAGCCCGGGCGGCCGGCGCTGGCCGCAGCCCTCGTGGCCTGGGCGCCGCCGGCGGGAGGGAGGGCGGCGAACTGGGGCGCGCAGGCGGCCGCAGGGCAGCGGCCGAGGGGGCGGAGGGCAGGGAGAGAGGCGGGAATATGGAGCCAGGTCCTTACTTGAGCACGGACTGCTCCTTCTCCTCTTCTTTCTTCTGCCTATCCATGACGGCCAGGATGATTTTCCTCTCCTCCTCCGTGAGGTGGCTGAGGTCAGGCATCTCGGGCTGCAGAGGCGGCTGAGAGGCCGCCGGGGTGGGAGCCGGGCGGCCCCGGGGCCCGACAGGAGCCGACATGTTTGGTGGAGCCGAACCACCCTAGGGAAGCGGGGAGGCAACTCCACTGGCAGCAGCGGCACCGGCGCGGCGGCTGGGGCAGCCTCCAGCGCTGGGACAAATACATACAAATCAATGGCCTTCAATCCAAGGCGACAGCCCCCCTCCCCCAAGAAAGAGCAGGGGGAGGGGAGGGCGAGCGTGTGGGGAGGGAGGGCTGAGGAGTGCGCTTCGGTAAATGTTTCTTCTTCCCGGGGGCGACGGGCTGTGAAGTGAGCGGTTCAAGGGAAAGGGGAGCTGGAGGCCGGGACGCGGAGTGCGCGGAGAGGCAGAGGAGGGTGGTGGAGTAAGGTGGCGGGGACAGCTAAGGGTGGGGTGACTGGAGGGAGCAGGCGGGAGGGCGACAGG